TTATGTACACAACATATTAACAATAATAATAGTGTGATCGACGACGACACAAAGTATACAGCTGTACCCACGATTTCTCCGGCCAGAGTAGGACCTTCGGGCGCAGTTTCCGACTCGAGTGTATTAGGGTGTATTATTATATTCAATAACGATAATTTAGCAAATTGAGCGCTTTCTTTAAAATCGAATTCCCATTAAACGAAACCTAACCTAACAAAAATACGTTTCGAATGAACAATTTTTTTTTCAGGGCGTCGTCGCCTACACCGATGTGTTTTTAAAAAGTTATGAAAATACATTTGATAGGCGATTATGTTGTATGAAATATTTCTACTAAGACCGCTCTTATTTTTTTTTACTCCCCAATTTGTTTACACTTTGTATAATATCCCGGAGTTAATGGAACCGGTCGATTTTATGCAACACCGCGCACTTGAACGCTCCATTAAAAAAGATAATAACCATCGACTTTGGGCATGTATACATTTTTTATATTATACATAGGTACATATAGATTGTTATTTGTGTTATTACATAAAGCGGCGTAACGGTATTTACCCGAAGAATTAAACTGCGTCGTACATCGTGGACCGCAACTTAAAAACAATCCGTTAAGGCCAGCGGATCTAATGGGCATAGATTATTAAGGGGTAACGTATAGGCAAGATTTTCGATAATGTTTTTATCGCGACAATAATATCTATATCTGCATACACCTAATTTTTTTTTGGTAAATACCAAATATTTGTTGGGCCGAGACGAGGAAGACCTACTGGGTATTTTTTTCCCTCAAATAGGGACAGCGGATGAGTTGTCGTTGTCTGATGAACAAAACTCATTAATCAAATGGAACTTTGCACTGGGCCGATGCTTAACAACTTGCAGCTATTTTGCTAATGCAAACGGGACTATTAATACTAAATATAGACAATAATATAATTGTCGATTGGACACGAAAACCGAATCTACCCCTCATTAAAATAGCGCAGAGATAATTGAAACACGATCATTATATTATAGTAACACAAGCGTTAAAGCACACAAGGTCGTAAACGTACACCTACACAAGCGAGATGAAGTCAACTAATTAATGATAATAATAACTTGGGAGTACCTAAACGCTGTTGCTCGCGCGTGTGCGTGTATTTTCGTCACACACTTGCATAATATTTAAATTACAAGCAATATTCCATAGTGAAGAAAATAGTGTGTTTATAAACAATTAGTAGGAAGGTGTACCACCTTGGTTGTGTATTTCCCATAGCAATAAACAACAATATGGTGGCACACGAATGAAAATAATATGTAATTAGACCAAATATCGAATGATGAATAAGTACAGACTATTGTATTTGTCTAAAAGTACAAGAAAAAAAAAACTTCTGGATTTAACGTCGTTCAGTGGCCGCTGTTATGCGGAAGCGGTCGAAAGAACGAATGAAAAAAAAGAAATGTAATCCCCACAGTTAATTCTAGATCCGTTAAGTAAATCGTATACACACTTCGGATAGTGAAAGCAATAATTAATTGTGGAAAACGTGAAGCGGGTTCGGAATACTTTTATGAGACAAACAAACGCATTTAACTTTATCCTAGCGTTGTAAAAATAATGGGTTCGATTAATATTGCGTTGAGGGGGGGAAATCGTTTTAGATTATTCACGAGGAATTTTACCATTCTTGTACACAAACGTTATGGCGGAGACGTTTGAAACATTAAACCGAATTTAACGAATTAATTGGTGGCTTACATTATTATTATTATTATATTTTTTTTTTAGTAACAAAAAATACCCGTACAACAATTTCACCTTGTCTTGACCTGAATGGAATCGTCGTTATTTACATATTTTATGTTTACTGTAATTTGATAAAACTGTACTAGTTGCATTTAGCAACGCAACACAATAATAATAGTAATATAAACGTATACCTCTATATATCTACTACAGGTATGGCGATACGCGAACACTTCAGCTACGTGGAAAAAAAATCCTAGAAATTATATTACACCAGTTCCATACTCGTTGGTATATTGAATGTCACTACTCGCATAACTAGAACGTTTATATTGTATAATAATATTTGCATTGTATACCAAGTACCGTTCTGTAAAGGACCAGATCGAAAAACATGACTTAAGGGCAGTGGAAAGATGAAATTTGGTCAATTTTTTTTTTTTGTATTTTAGTCGAAAGAGATTATAATAATAGTTTGAATTTTTAAGTACTATCAGTGTTATTAAAGGCTTAATTTGTGTTAGTCCAACAACCAATAGAGGCCAATGCGTCGCGTAGGAAGTATCCCATTACAAATATATATATATATATATACACAATATAATGTATTAAAATCCAAATACTCTGCGAAGCGTCCTCTCCTTTGCCGTCGGGTAATTTTTCATCACAGAACCACCATTCGTTTCCCTGTAAGTTTGCGTTTAGACTGTTAAGAAACCCAAAGTGTGTACACTAATGATGATTTACGGCTAACACAACTACTCTGATGATACGGGGACTTGAGTGGTAACGACGAAATTAGAAATTGCCTATTTTTGGTCCCACAACAGCCACGTGCAGCCACCCATTACTACAAATTATACTACTAAAGCGCCAACATATTAGCGCAACCATTACACAGTTTTTTTTCATTTCTTCCAAGTTCTTCGTAAAAAAAAAAAAAAAAACATGCCTCACCCATTCGAAATGTTACCATTATGTAGTAGCTGTACTTAGGATTTCGTACAATTCATTAAACCGTATTGCGCATTAGTGTAATGAAAAACACTGATATAGCTTATTTTATTTGTTGTTTGGTATAGAAAAAAAAAACAAATGTTTTTACTTGCACTACACTGAGATAGTGCCTTGCCTTCCGTATGTCATAATAATAATACATTTTGTAATAATTTAATAGACATATTTGTTATTATAGTCACAGTTAGTTATTTTTTCTTCTAAGCCCTAGACATCAATTGGTGCTTATTGGTCTACGCCGGCCCTGGTCGAGGGCATTACCATTTACAATGTGTTCACCGTTTATCTATGAAAAGAGCCAATAACCCTTTACAATTTGTATATAAACAGAATAATTTAGATTTGAGGAGAAGAATACAAAATAAAACTTGACAATGCGAATTCCATTTCAAGGTCAGATCCAATTAAAATAAATTATCACAAACGCTAGATGATCGCATGCTACTACCACTTCATTGGACTTTCTTGAACTCTTAATAGACCAATCGTGTTACTACACAAACGGTTTATGGAATCAATAAAGTTTTGTGTGACCCACCATTATTCGGTTAACAAACAGTTCAGAGTTAAGCGGCTAACAATGCGTTGGCGGTCGACGGTTTTAGATTTAGTATCGTGTACAATCATCGCACTGTATTTAACGTAATTAGATATAATAAGATGGATAGATTAATGGACGTTAACTCGCAGTACGAGTGGCCGCCCAAAGCAAATTAAAATCATATCTACTTAAAATGTTTTTTTACTGTGACTGTACTAAAATATTTTTTGTTCTAGTATTTATTTTATATAGAAATTATTTTTTCTTATGATGACGCAAAAGTGTGCAAGGTGATTAAATGAAACAACATCGGTTGCCAATGTCGCACAATGATTACATATTGGTAGATGGGTGACGATAAGCGGCTATGCATATTCAAGTCTGTTGTACAAAAAAAAAAATCCAATGTAAATTTTTTTTTTTTTATTCAGATTTTTCAACAAAACCAACTCAAAGTAGAAACGGCTGAAACTAATCGTTTTTTTCAAAGACAAGGCTTGGCGGATCTTTTCAATTTTTATCTTGCATTCAATAAATAATTGGGATTTTCCTGTACAATTAGATTTTAATTATCAAAGAAATACACTATTTTTGTTTTCTAACAGCAATAACCAACATAAATGAATGTATTCGGCATACACGGGAAATTTGCACAGGTGTACTGCATATATTCCAACTGCGTAAAATGTAAAAATAAGTTTTTTTTTGTGATAAAGTAGAAACTAATAATTCTGGGCAAAACCGCTATTGATGTCGAAGAACAATATTTTACGCGAAACCCATTTGACAGCAGCTGTTGAGCAATAATTATTATCGACGGAAATTACACATTTTTAGGGATTATCGTGGTTTAACCGAAAACGATGCATTTGGAACAACTAATATCCACAAGAAACTATAAATAAAAATCAAAACACTGTTTAAAATAGTGTATAAAATAGATTAAGGGTTAATTGGAGATTTTTCACGACCAAAACCAATACGTCATGTTTCTGCGGTGTAAGGGGGCCGGAGTGGGGGTTTAAGTTATCTCGAATATCGAATATTGATAACAATGTAACGTTGACGAGGTAAATAAAGCCAGTCGATAAAATACAATATCGTATACGTATAATATAATAACAGTGATTTTCTAAACTCGAGTACCAAAACAACATTATCAGTATTCCAGGTGGATCGTATTATCAAAGGTATTATCAGCTGATCGGTTTTCCTTTGTTGGCATTTTGCGCACGTATAAAGGCGGCACTAACCACAACACTGTGCAACCACGTTTCACGCGATAACGGCTATATAATATTTAGAGGACTATATTTTTGACCTTAAAATTTAAGGCAAACTGTAGCGAAAAATAAAATTGAACTTCGAGCAACCGTTTTTTTTTTTTAATTTTCTACCGATCCAATACAGTGGCAGTTGATATTAACCAAGTAACGTGGGCGCAAGGTTACTAGATCATAGTCTATGATCTATCTAGATAATATATCTATCTGTATATAGATTATAGACTATAATCTATTAACGTTGACACGGTTGCCCCGGTCACACGTTCGTTCCTTATCAATTTTGTCATTTTTATACTTATATTATTATGATTATAACGCGTTCGATAAACACACGACTTGAGAAAAAACCCGTTAGGCGGCCAAGTAGGGTATAATGATAATATTGTTATTTTAAGCTTTTTGTCAGAACAAATGTTACCTTCAGTATCGACGCGGCTGGATGAAAACATAATCCATGATTTTTTTTTTTAAGAAATCCCAATATTCGTTAACAAAAAAGTCGCGTCACGCTGTAGTTCGCTTGGCACAGGCGCGCACTTAACACACCCGAAAAAAAACTTAAAAAAAATTGTAGTTATTGTAAGTTTAACGGTATGTTATTTCTATTTTTTTGGTTTTTTCTACACAATTCGTTATATTGACTAGTATAATATTGAATGGGGTAAAAAAAAAAAATGATAATAACAACCGGACAAACGAAAACCGTAGATTACTTTTAAAATTTTTTTTTTGGAAATTTAAAATAAATCACGAACACACACACACACACACACACTGACAAACTGGGCACGTTACAACTGGTCGGGCCGACGACGTATGGCGCGCGCGCGCTATCACTATAGAGAACGGTGTTCGACTGCTTGTACGGCGGCGGCAACCGTTTTTGTAACGAACATTTTTAGTTAGCCGCCGGTCCCCCCTCCCCCGCCTGTGATCCATCGCGGCACGCACGTTTCGTCAACCGGTAGCCGGCAGCCATCTCCTTCTCCTCCACAACGGCTATATAAAATAGTGCGCCTCCAAAACCTGCGCCTCCATGTTCCCATGATGGACACGACTTTTGGCCTTTGAGCGCTTTCGCCCCCCCCCCCCCATCAAAAATCATATCACGTCGGGCACTACCATAAAGATTTAGAACATAATGTAAAATCGATACGAGTTCAATAAATGAAGCGTCTGTTTTCAAAACCGGCCAAAAAGCGATTTTTTAAAAATGTTCACAAACAACAAAATATAATTTCTTAAGATTAGCGATTTTAAAACCAGCCGACACAGTTTGAGTTGGTCATAAATCATAATCAGTGTGGCTACCTAAAAAATAAGACACGTTTTCAAAAATGTCTTTTAACTGGTTTTGAAACTGGACGCCTCGGGTGTTGAAATATTCAATAAAACACTACACGGACATAAGCGGAATATTGTCAATTACACGTGGATGTGAATTCACGAATAAATAAATAAATAATTTTTTCTCCGCCCTCAACACATACTAAAATCCGAGCACTACACCGTTTTACCTTTTTTTTTTTATCAAATACCTACTAATTGCATTTTATATCTTATCATTTAGTGCTTAGACGTGTTACGTTTTCAAAAAATATATATATAATGACCAGTCGGGTCTATGTATTTTGTGCGCAAACGTGTTGCGTTCAGGGTGAAAATACCAAAAATCTAAACACTCGTGTCCGACCAAGAACTACCCTTATTGTATTGTCCCGTGTATTGTATGGCCGGGCCTCCGGTATAGTATTATTATTGTAATTTTCGAGTCGCCGCGCCCCAGATGAACACATCAAAAAACGAATACCCATGTATAGCTGATACCGAAAGGTCAAAAACAATATATATAATAAAGTCAATTAGTCGTTCCGCCCTTCTGTCCGACCCGTAGGTACGCGCCACGGTCGTTGTCGTTGAAATACCTCGATCCGGGTTATTTTTTTCCACCAGAACAATGAATAACCGAAGAAAACGATACAATCCAAGTAGACCGTGGCATACGTGGAGTTCGTGTAGAGCCGTGATAAAAACTGAGTTTTATTATACATTTTTTATTTACTAGTACCAGAATGGTCAACGTTTTTGTCAGTTGTCGCCTAATTATTAAATAATTACATTTTATACTTACACCGTACTTGTTTATTATTATATTTCGAAATTGCAGTTATTCTTGGAGCTGTACAAAAGAAAAGAAAAAAACGAAAATATAGAACTTTTAGGAGACGAGAAAATTACAGTGTGAACAGTAGTTTTTTGAAATGTTGAAAAATAAAATAGGTTAACAGCTGTAGTGCGTTAATTATCTGTATAGAAAGTCGATACGTTGCAATAAAAAAATATATATATCAAAACAACTCGAGTTTTTATTGCTTATAAAATTAACGTTTTGGTGGAAAAATACACGATTGAAATTACTACTTTTGCACAGTATTATGTACATTTTAAAAAAAAAAAATAAACCGACATATATCCGATGAGTAGCACTGCGACGACATTAGCAGCCCCCCCTTCTTGGTATTTGTCACCAATCTACAGGAGGTTCGATGTAGCACACCGTCCAAGTTTAAAGGTTAACATTCAGATGCGTATAAACATTATTGTGTAAAGATCCTTATTCAGTTTACGTTTATTCGGCTTACATGTTATTGTATGTTTTTTTTCTCAAAAAGAATATCGTCGTGTGTTGTGGAGACAGCGAAGGGCACGCACACACGTTTCCACATATTATACAATATTATTATGTATAGCTACGAGTGTGGACAATGCACGGTTTGCATGACGGTATGCGTTTTCGGGGGAGAATTCGGACAAAAGGAGAGAATAAAAAAAAGTAACCGAGTGCGTACATCGTTAAAACTACCCTTTTCGAACCAGTTGGGGGGGGGGGGGGGGGGGTTGGATGGATGACAGGTGGGCGAGACGTGGCTGGGTTGAAAATTATTATTATAATGAAACCCGAGCGCCCGGGCAGCACCTGACCGTTAGCGATCAGGTTCGTTAGCTGCATAATAATAATAATAATAATTATTATATATAAAAACACGTTGTAAAACGTGTATTATCACGTTTGTTACATAATCCGATAGACTAATTAATATAAATTAATATTGACTAATTAACGATCTAGGAAATTGCAACGCCCGCAATGTTCGGAGCGTTGACGAAAATCGCATAAAAAATATGTACCTAATATATTATTATCTCGTTTGGACTTTTCCAAACGCCTTCACCGACAACCGTTAGCGTTCCTCGTCTTTATTGATATAGATACTTAAACACGTTTTAAAAATATATAATCAACGTTCGAGTCAACACGTTCGTCTAATATGGAGAGTGAATATAAAATTCAATATAGCTCTCGTTGGATAGTAAAAAACATAATATTATCGACGGTTAACGCCGTTATTTCAAATAGCTTTACATGTTATTCCATTTGTACGTATGTATGATGTTTTTATACTTACACAAACGCTTACCTTACCGGATTGATTACCATAAAAAAAATTAACATTCTGACAGGCTCAAATAAATGTCCATTTTTTTTCAAAATTTGTATGACTTATGCTCGTCAATGTTACTCCACGTTTAATAAAACTAGGCAATTTAAAAGACCTCGCACGTAGACTTTGTCGAAATAGTAAATTCCAATATATTACACAACTCGTATGAGTTTAGTCAGTAAGTCATAAAACCACCTAAGTATTTTGAGTATGCTATTCAACGCTTGGTAAGCATATTTAAATGTAGGTAGGACAACGATATTTTATTAATGGGCAGTCGCTGTTTTTTTGTTTTCGCGTTTTATCACTTGTTGGCTATTGCATACGTTGTATTATTTATAAGCACTAATATAACACAAAACTCTTGTACAATACGTTTTAGACACAATTTACCTTGTTGCTAATTTGTAGAGAAATGTCAATTACTATAACAAGTTCATAGAGTAGAAGGTAGATTAAAATTACAACGAACTGCAAGGAAAAAGCGCTTGCATATATTGTATCACATATGGTTTTCCGAATAATAATAATAATTTGTAATTTTGTCAGGTACCTACCTATATAATCGAATGATTTTTAAACGTAGGTTATTGCTTTTTAATTAAAACGTACAGGTCATTAACATTTATTATAAAATCAAATGGTTCTATTTGTATGCGTATGCATATTATAATGGTATGCTGTACAAATTGGATAAATGAACTTTAGGTTGTTTCCTGTACCTGTCGATCTTACGAAATTAGTGTCCGGTTAAATACGGACAAAATAATATTATGTGAAACGACCGTTTGATAATATTATGCACGACTCGCCGTGTAAAGCTAGCCGGTAGTCGATACGATATTATAATATAATATCATCTCTGGGACGGTTTACATTGATGGCACGCTGTATAATAACATACTTAGATATTCACGGCGACGTTGCTTGCTCTTTTGACGATGATTTCTCAAACGGTGCTCTAATTTATATTCGCCGTCACGTTTTAATAACGCCACATATATAGCGTCACGGCGATTGTGAATGGACTGCAGTACTCAAGTTAATTAAAACCTAAATATTCTATTGGATCCCGGTGGCTTATCATAATAATATATCATGCGGATTATACACTTGGTTTTTATGTGCACGGAAAAATATAATTTGGTTATAGTAAAAGGTCGGAAATATTCTAGTTAGATTTACCATGGTTGCGCCAACTACATTATTTTCGGTTAGAATTACCAAACTAGTTTAGTTGTTTTCGAGTAGATGGATTAACTATATTTTTTTTTTTGTTAAATATCTATTTTTAGACACAGGCGGAAGCATTTTTTAATTTTTCGTCAAGAATATTTACGAGTTAAATTACATTTCATCTATATGATAACGATGACGCTTTTCCGGTCATGCCTGACTTTTAATATTATTCCATGGCGCTTTGCTATAATAACGCACGTGCTTGCTATGGTGGTGGGATCGTTCAGGGAACGGTACGCCGAAGGATTTTAACAGTAATTGTTTTACTCTGCTATACAAGAGTCTGCCGGGATGTTTCAATAGCGTTTGATTTGCATGGCAAATGTATTGATTGCCGAAGCCACGCCAAAGCAATAGACTTAACCACTTGTGACACGGCCATTTGTATTCTGTACATGTATATATTTCACAGTGATGGCCGACGTACATTAAATCAATTCTAAATGGTTCGTCAACACGAGTCCATATATATATATATATGAATAGATAGCAATTTAAACAAAACGATGACGAACACTATAGTGATGCAGTGGCGCCAAAGAGTTTAAAAAAAAAATATATATAGTTTGCTAATTTTCCGGCCTTAATCTTAATTATCGCAAAGCGTTCTATTACATTATATTGTAACGAAATGAGATGGAATTTTAACTTAACGAGGCCTGACTTCAGTAATGACTATGGCGCCACGCGTATAGCTTAGGTTGGCCATAGTAAAAACAAAAAGATGCCACGAATCGGTCCACACGAAATGGATAAATCTATAACTGCAAACTTTAAAATATGTAGTATGGCCTATTTTAAACAGTTTTCTATTTTAAACTTGTTCGGGCTACTTACACAGCAGGTTTAAGTTTTCTAAAATTTGTGGGATATAGCAAACCCAAGAAGAGTAGAGCTACCTAAACAGCCAAAGTTAACGCATTCTATTCAATTAAATCGGATGAAATCTGTATAATATTATTAGATTTAGACACACTTTATTCTCGGTGACTGATGTGCATCGAAAGGGAAAAATCAAAGAAACTCGTTTGGCCGTCGGTCGATTAAAAAAATAATAATACATACATATTGAAAAAATAAAACCGGGATAATTCAACTTGTT